TAGTTCTGCACTTTTATTTTAACCAGACTTCTGTGCGTTATTACAGTGACAAAATTTTAAACATAAATGCTTCCTGGAGATAATAAAACAACCAAACACCAGAAGAACACATATCATTTCTGGTGGCTTCCCTTCACTCTGGAGTTCTTGGGACTGCACAGTGGCTTCTATATGGAACATGTACACTCTATATAGTGTTGCTTCCTTTTCTAATCTTGTTTCAGCTCTCTACTACCCATCCTCTCTTACACAACTCCTAGTCTTTCCCATTGATTTTACTAGTGTTGCATCCCATTTTCTTAAATGAATGCTAGAGCTTATCATCTTACCATTCCCGCTTCTGTACTGTTTTTTTTAAGTGAATGCACTGTTACTTCCCTAAAACGGGAACATGCTTGCTTTAACTTGAAAGCAGTTTAGATTGAGGTTCTTTGTTTAATCTACCACACCTCATTTCAGCTTCATAGGGGGTTATAGAGCTAGCTTCTACTCCCCTGCTGCAGAATTGTTCCTTTCTACACTTTGTTTTAGCACTGGTTTTTTTCACCTCACTCTATCTAGTGTTGCTCACAACCCTTCCATGAAACTGTATGGATTGTCAAAAAAATTAATGTTTTCCTGTTTCAAAAAGTATCATCTTTCTGGAGAAAATTTAATTTATTAAAACACATACCTGACCCAAAAACCTCCTTAATAAAATTATTCTGTATATTTTTCTGTTTTTCAGCAAAGTCCAGCAGTTCAAATTCCTTAACCTGGCCATCTGTCATGTTAGGCTGAAGCATTTCTCATAATAATTATATGATATTGTCTTCTGTCCATTATCAAATTCTACTTTCACTCTCAGTGTGAAGCCAAAGAAATTTCCTTGACTTCTGTGAAATTAGGTTTGATTGGGTTTTTTTTAATCTGAAAGTAAAATTTGTCTCACCGGCTTTTTCAATTTTGGGTAATTTCCAAGCCTTTTTTTTTTTTTTTTTTTTTTTAAGTACAAAAATGTCCTACATTTTATGACCTCAAAACTCTTTACTGTAAGACCCTCTTTTACACACATAGTGCTATCGGGTTCTTTCTGCATCATCTTTAATGTTTTGTTGTTTTTCTGTTTCACACCATTTCCTGAATTCTTTTGCTTTGGACCAATTCCAGAACTGTTATTCATTGCTTCCTTTTATTCACAGGGTAAGATAAAGCCATTAGCTGTGTTCCTGCTCTGCTTCTCCATTGCTAGCAGTGAAGCACAACTGCTCGGCTCACTCTTGAGCCAGCTGTATATTTTTATTTTTAAAAAGGTAGAATCTACACTACTGCAGATCTGAGTGTAGGCATACTGCAAAATGTGAGGATGACCTACAGAGTTACAGTTACACCGGTGTAGTTAAATCTCACTAGCTAAATCTGATTTCCAGGTATTCAGATCACAGACTTGAAATCTGGTTTCTGAGGAAGCTGGTGAAAGTTGGCACTGACTTCAGTGGGGTTGGGGCTTCGTCTGAAATACTGGCTTGCAGTCACCCTTTGTGGACCTCTCCAAGTTAGCTGTGCTTTTGCTCCCCCATGGTCTGTGGGGTATATGACAGGGGGAACGCTGCAGTAAGCTAAACATTGTAGAAATAAATCAACTTCAGGTGATGTACTTGAAAGTCCTTTTACAGTGATTCTTTTCATATGGACTCCCCACTTGAATGATTTCTAGACTATCAATGTTATTGTTTTTCTTTAACATGTGCAAACAAAACACATTCTGATGAAACTCTGCTAACTATAACCCGTTTATATAGTAATCACACAAGCAATAGGAATAATTTAAAAAATCAGAAAGAGTGCATTTTAGCTGTTAAATAAAGTGTTTCATTTTAGAATTTGAGCAGCCAAAATTGTGATATTAAGGCAGCAGAATTTTTAATAAATTATGGCTTTTCTGAAGAAATAAACATTTGTTTTTCAATACCTTGGTCTATTCAGTTCTCAGTTTGTACTATAGTTAATATTCTTACTTGAATGGTAAATGTTATGTTCTTTTCCATTTAATAGTTTTAAACTCTGTTTCATCTCTGAAATCGCCATCTGAGTCATAGCTCATATATGGTTCCCTACATACACTCATTTTAAGTTCAGAAGCAGTTGCTCACAAATTGTATCAAATTGTAAGCAGATATTCTAAAGAAAGATTTCTCAGGGATGACCTGAGAAGTAGCTTCAGTTTTTCTGCAATATTCAACCTGATACATATATTATATATATATAAAAAAAATGTTTTTTTTTTCTCTAGACCTATATACACATATGCACAAAGTCTGTTTTCATATGCACACACACTAACACCACACACAAAATTATGATATACCACCTGGATTATGTCTACTGTGTCCTCTATTTTATAGCAATTTGAAAAAAAATTTTTTCCTGCCTTTCACCCCTTCTTGAAGTTTGGCTTTTGGCCATCACCTTTAGCAGTTATGTAAAATAATTTTCTGTGAAAGAATGGTATTATACACTCCACAGGCATTTATTGCCGAGTTATAATCCTGCTTATAACTTTTTTCTCTCTCACTCTTCCTCTATGCAGAGAGGCAGCTATGTAACATCTGTAACAATTTTTTTTAGCAATGTATGAATATGTACACACTGAAAATACAGTAATGTGAAAAATAGTACCTTTGTGGTTTGCCAAAAGTTATATGAGCAGTAGCATTGCCATTCAGCCAGATTTTTTACTAAATAACTAAAAGTTACAAAAAGAAATTCCCATAACAAAAAGCAGAATCAGATCTCTATGGCTTTCAGTCCTGTAGAATGAAGTGCAGAAACTGAAAAGTTTGACTTTCAATAGGTTCAAGTTTCAAATCAGCTATGAATAAACAACTTTAGCCCTAAAATACAGAGGATTTGTGTTCAATTAACAAGGGCTGTACCATCTCAATGCATATGTGGGTGGACTGTGTTGTGATCTTATTTGTTTTATTGCATAGGCTAAAGGGTTTTTTTAATCAATATTTTACTGATATTTCTATATAGCTGTGCTATATCACATAGTTTTCCAGTAAGTCTACATTGTGTCAATTTATTTATTGACATGACCTTTCATTAACACTTTTTAAAACGTAATGAGTTTTTCTTCTTCCTTTACCCTCCTTGTCCCTCTCAAAGCAGAATATTGAGTGCTGGTGATTGTTGGGTTAAATTCATTGCATGTCCCCAAACTCTCATAGGGATGACTTTGTGAAAACTTAAATATTTTCAATGACTTAACTTTTGTGAGAAAGAAGAAGAAAAAAAAAGACTGACATAACTATTTCAGGTTATTCATCCACCTCTCATGAGTGTTTTATTAAAATGGCCAGGAGATGCAGAATGAGACCATGGTATATGTGATGCTTGAAAGAAAGGCCTCTGAACATAGCCTACATTCCAAGAATTGTTTGAGCATGAAATTTCCCATTTTATATTTTAATAAAACCTTTCTTCAAAACGAAAATGAAGACAAATGTTCTTTTGTAATTCAGGTGTCATTAGTATTACACATAAACCTGGACTCATCTCATCTCACTTTACATGGCTGAGAAATCTAAGTTATGAGTCTTCTTCCTCTTTCTTTAATCAATGAAGAGAGGTAAGGTTTTGCTTCATTGTTTCCCAAGGAAATTTGGGCAATTAGGATACTAATTTAGGCACTTTGTTTAAGTCACTAAAATGTCAAAGGATGGATCTGAATTGCCTTGCTTATATCACAGGTCGTCACCCTAAAGCCAGCTCGCAGCTATAGAGACGATCCTCATTACTAAGGCTTTTCGTAATATTGATCAGAAAAATTTACCATTCAGTATGCGAACCTGAGTTAGGTGAACCTTGCTGATGTTGCTTGTCACTACTGTTACTTCAATGTTGCTTTTTACTTCTTTTTCTTAAGGATCAATCAAATTACATTCGATCCAAAACCATAATAACTTGAAAAGCAAGTCCTTTGCAGCCACCAGGTTGCAAGCAGCCAGGCTGCTGAGAGGCATTCCTCTTCATCCTGGATTTCTAAAGTAAAATTTTCTCTCTTTTTCAGTCAGAGATAGAAGTCCTTATTTCCACTTTCATTATGCAGTGGGTGCATGATGTTCAGCGTTACAAGGCTAGACAGCAAAGCTGGCTAGGTCTACCCGGCAGACCTTCATTCTTTTTTCCTTGAAGTCAGGTCTTCACAGACTCACTGCTGATTACTAAATGTTATGAAGTTCTAAGTGAGCCAACCAATAGGGTTTTGGAAAACCAAGACCACGATAGCACAGTACCTTATAGTGTACTTTTTTCATAAAGTCTAAGAAAAGAGCAGTTGGTATATTAAAAATATTTTACCTTAGAATTACATGGCAGTAGAAGGTCTTAAAAAATCTCCTCTAGATAATGACTGGTGAAGAGAAAGAATCTTCTTTTTTTGAATAGTGGAGTGTAAACTGTCCAGTTACGCACTCTTTAAGTTGTTTGGATTTCAGGGGTTTTAGTTAAGAAAATAAACTGTATTCAGGTTTAGGAGGTTATAACAATGCCATATGTTCTTTGTGAGTCTAAAATCAGACAGAGAACGAGTTCTTTCCCTGTGTGGCTAAATCTAGATTTTATAAACATGAAGTGGAGGAAGCTGGGAGCCAGGTAAACTTCTGAGCTGCAGCCTTGGCTGCTATAATTGTTCCTGCTGTTTCTGGTACCTTTTTTATTACCTGAATATAGGAAGAGGTGCTACTAGAGGTTCACTCTCTAATTCAAAGAGTTTGAGAATATCCCCTTGGAACAATTCTCAACTTTTATGAAGAGAATGTAGAAGGAAGTTGATGGGGAATTCATCATACATGTTTACTCCCTTAGAGCTTCTTGCTCTGCGCAATGTGTAAGATGCATGATCCGAAACAGATGATTTTACACCATCAACTTTTAAGATTCCCTCATTTAATCTTGCAGCAGGTGGTTTATAGAACCAAGGTATTTCAAAAATCCCTTTAAAAGTAAATGAGCAAATGGTGCTGGTAGAACTTCCAAGCTCTATGATGATGAAAATTCTCTACATGACCGCAGATGGTTTGCATCTTCTTGCACTGAGAAGAGTAAAGCTTTTCTTCTGGATGCTAGATGACTTATGGTGATGTTCTTTTTTTTGTTGTTTGATTTTTTTTCAGCTTTCATTTGCAGCAACAACCCCAGAGCTGGCTGATAAGAAAAAATATCCTTATTTCTTCCGGACGGTGCCATCTGATAATGCAGTGAATCCAGCAATTTTGAAGCTACTCAAACATTATCACTGGAAGAGAGTAGGAACTTTAACCCAGGATGTACAAAGGTTCTCTGAGGTAAGATTTGCATAATTTCCAGTACACAAAGAGAGCTCCTAATGTCAGACTTCCAGTTCCTCCATTAATAACAATTAAGTAAAAAGAAATAGACCCGCTGTTTCAGTCTTGTTTGGCTTTGTCTTACTAGGTCACATTTGCTGTGCTGAATAAACTTAATTCCCTTCTGGGGCTTATTTGACTGTCTGTAGTAACAACGACCCATGCTTTCCCTTGACTGTTTTTTACACCACGATCATTACACCCACATGCAAAAAAACACAGGGTTTGGTTTTTTTTTTTTTTCTTGTAGCAAATGTTCCTTTATACTCTTTGACTTGCCAAAGTGTATAATTTAGAAGGAGGCTTGTATCATGACATTGGTTCACTTAAAAGAGAGAATAAATCTAATTTCATTGTGTTCCTTTTGTGCTCTGATTTATTATAAGCATCAGTCTGATCAGTCTGAACACTGAGGGACAAAATCTGGTAAGTCTATGGCTGAAAATACTGGAGGAGCTTACTGAGACAGAAATGACTGAAGCCTCCAGAACTCATAAGATCACATACTATGCATCCTCCAAATCTTCTGAGTTTCACCCTGAGCAATGTTTAGGTCATAGAAATTGCAATAAAGAATGGGCCAAGTGCCTTAAGCATGGTTTTAACAATAAAGTAGTTAAAAGAAAACGTCCTATAAGCAATTAATC